GGTTCTCTTCAGCATCCGGGCTGGCCGTTAGAGACACGCAAGGTGCAGCATCGGATTCCTCTGGCTCGGGCAAAGCGGTGTGCACGGTGACAGCAAATGACCGTTGATCGAGCCGCCCTCTTGCCCCTGCGGCCCCAATGGACAAAGGCATGGCCTTGCGAGACCCGGGCCTGGCATGCAGAACCCGGAAGAAAACCCACTCTGTCGCTGTCGGAGCCCTCTCTGCACGAACTTCGGCGGCCTGGCTGGCCTGCCCTGCCACACGTCCAGAGTTGTCCACAGCAATGTCTTCGCAAAATGCAAATTCATCGGCCCCCTCGGCCTCCGGCACATGGTCCCTCACCCTCTTATCACCTTGTCCTCTGGGAAGCATACCCAAAGTGTTCTGAAACCCCGCCATGCTGGACTGCAAGACCTCTGAGGAAAGAACAAAAACCATGCTCGGGTTGTCTGTGGCCACAGCAATTGCATGGGATTGCAAAGCATGGGCACGCAGGCTCTCATATGTGACATGCTCCGAACCTGCTGGCAAAGCCGGCAAATGCTTCCGGGCCTGGCGCTTTTCCTTATCAACATGTCGCTTGTGCCAGGTGTCCAAATGCGCGACCTCCGGGAATTGGCTCCTATCGTCCACTCTGTAGAGTATCTTGTTCAAAATTTTCACAACCTGCCATTTCCGCAGCCGGGATGCATTACTGATATCAGGATGCTTGCTCAAACCCAGAAGTGCCGGTGCAGCCTGCATGTTACGGGCCCTCTCAAAGTGCGAAGCAATGCCGACCAAAGTCTTAGAATCTATTCTCAACAGACGAGCCACATCTTGCAACCGCAAACACAGACTGACCAGTGGAGCTGCTGCATTAGGGGGAGCCCGTCGCTTCACTATGGAATGTGCTGCCTCATACACTCTCTCCGTGACTTGCACGAATCTGAAGCACCCTGCATAGAACTCAAGTTGAGGCAGCTGGGACAAAGCCGTGCCCGCCAAGAAATTGTTCAAATCAGACCTCAGTGGACCCGGAGACAGTATCAGCCTGGTCAGGGGATGGTGTTGTGCCTGCAGCTGCGGCGACTGACTGTCATAATCATCAACGGCACTGCCCAAAGAGCGTCTAGCATGCGCTTGGTCTTCGTGCGCCAGCAACGCAAGCTTCCAAGGCAAACGATGAGCCCAATCCAGCTTGATGTCAAACTCTAGTTCTGTGCGGGCCTTGCCCTTTTCAAAATCAGCACTGACCCGGCCCCAATCCTCAGCTGAGAGCAGATGTCTGTGCCGCTGAAGCAGGTCGCTGAACGCCGACTGTGCATTGAGGGACAAGACCTCCAACACTCCATCGGCTGCAACCTCCGGCAAGCGACGGCCCCTCATCGGACATGTTTCACTGCGTCGACCGTACAAACCGCTGATAAGCCGCAGGCCCTGCCGGCCCAGGGTCTGAGCACGATGCCTGACTCTACGGTCCCTGCGATGCAAAAGCAAATAATCTCCCTGCGCAAGCAGACAGTCATCGTGACACGGGCATGATTCGGCCCAGTGTGCAACACCGTCTATGATTCCGCTAAGCTTAAGAATCATGTCGAAATAAGCGAAAAACAAATTGTCCTGCAACGTTTCAGAAAAACTGTCAATGTCGAAAGCACTCGCTCTGTTTCCTGCATCTTCAGCATTCTGCATGAACGCTGCCTGGTTCCAGCAGCTCCTGATAGCTGGGAGTAACTGACTCAATTTTTTGCAGAATGCAACAACAGCACCCCAGCGATGGATGTAGAGCTTGCCTAGCTGCAGGCTAAGGAATTCCTCAGCGAGGTGATGCAGAGGTGACGGGCGAACACAGTAGTTCACAAACCGCTTCAAGCGACCGCATGACCACAATGCCTCAAACTGCTGCAATTGCTGAAACCATGCCTCCCAATGAGCCAAAGACCCGGTAACCTCCTCCAAAGCGTTGTTCACTATGTGTAGCAGACCCGGTACCGCAAGTGCATTCGGCAAAAATGAAAAGTTGCCTTCTTCATTCCTTGCCAGGCCTTGATCGGGTTGGGGCTGAGCCTGAGGTTCAGATTCGGGATCCGGGGCGGCAACGGCTGGGGCTGGGGAGAGCCCTGCTAAATCATCCTCTAAAACCATGTCCTCCTGCTGCGGCACAGGCTGGGGCTGGGGGAGCCCTTGCACGAACCCTGGCATCAAGTCGGGCTCCTGGGTGCTGGGAAGGAACCACTCTGGCAGCAAAGTTTCCAGATCTTGAACTTGGAACTTTCCTATACCTAGCTCTGTGCCCATATCGGAACAAAACGAAAACACACTTGCAGTGTATTCTGGCAACTTCCGTCTGTCCCCCAGAAGCACTGCCCACTTGTGCAACATTGCAGCGCATTTGGTGGCAGTGGATTCCGCAGAGCTGCCTAGGGCAACCGGAATGTCGTGTATGTGTTGCAAAGCTTCAAGCACGATGACATGGTCGTTCATGGATCTCTCCGACTGCTCCCAATCAGAATCTCTTTGGCGAATACCACAATCAACGATCATTCGTTGAACAGCATGAAACACTGTCAGCACTTCATCAGATTTGATGGACACAGTAGCGCTGTTCAGCCAATTGTTGCCAAGTTGGGGCGATGAATCTGCTCCTGTGAACCGGACATGCCGGGTCGCACTAAAATCCCTGCCGCCTAAGCCACCTACTACTGCATCTCCCACTACAGACTCTGACTCGAGGTCCCGCCTCCAAAGAAGCAGAGCCATGTCCAGGGCCAATCTGGTGTAATGCTTATAGGCGCTTGAAGGAAACACATGCTTGGCCTGCAACAGATGCTGAATAGAATGCTGCATCAATTGCGGAAACAGCAATTCCAGGGCCCCTGCTGCAATCTCTTTAAACGGTATATATGAAGGTATCAAACGGGTCAAGACCATCATCTTCACCAAAAATATAGAAGAGTACGCGAACTTGCTTCCGAGGACCTCTGTAGGTGGAACCAAAGCCGCCCTCACACAGGAAAGCCACCTCACGGAACCCTCCAGCTCCATTTGCAGATCTGCCCTCTCATCATTATTTGCCGCACTTTGCAGCAAGCGGGGGGCCCAAGATTGAATCTTTCGCACCAGATCCGTGAGACCAGCAGGACTCAGTGCACCGTCTTCTGCATTAGGAACATGTGCGGTTGCTGGGCCTACCTTCTGCTGCATTACTGACGGAATTTCATCTAACAAAATGGTCCACCTGCCAAGCGCCGAAATTGTGTGCCATGAACCATGTAGCACAAGCTGCAACAGTGTGTGTGGCATAGGCACGACCAACATGTTTTCAACGTCTTTAGCCCCGCCCGGGATTCTGTGATTCAAGCGCCACTGGGCGACTGACAACGGAGGTTGTGCCTGCAACTGCATCTGCGACAGATTAATGCCTGGTGCATAGGGATGGAAAGGCAAAGTCCTATCGGCAATGCCAACGATGTACTTACCAAGGTCTCTAGGGCAGACTATCCCATGCGCATCGCGGCGCAGCTGCCTCCAGATCTTTGCACTTTGAATCATGAAAGGCTGAGAAAGCTTCTGGCAATCCATGATCTGCAAAGAAAAATAATCCATGGGGAAACGATAATACTCATGCCCATGTTGCTCTTCCTCTGACAAACGTGTCAAGGGCCCCTGCCACACAGAACGTGCTTGCACCAAGGCCACAGCTTGAACCTTGATTCGGGTCTCCGAATCCTGTAACACATCTGGTTTAAGTTTTGGACCAAGCTGCTTCACTTTAGCATTGAACCAATCTGGCTGAGGCAGCGGAAGCCGAATCCGAAGCCTCCGGCCTTCCTGGGCAGCCTGAACATCTACTTGTTTTGTGTTCACCTGGCTTTGCCGCCAACTGTCTGGAAAACCATGCAGCCACACAGCGAACATCCCGAGAACCGAGAACGATCTGCTGACAGCTGACTGCTACGTTCTAGTTTTGCAATTCTGATTCTGCTCTTTCGTGCTAAGTTCTAGTTTTGCAGTCAGTTCTGCTCTTTTGTCTTTGACTGGCCTGAGCCGAAAAACACGAGTCGTGAATCGACGCTTCTCGCAGCCCTCGGTTTCCTCAAGCCTCAGGGTTTCCTCCCTGGTCCCTGGTCCCTGACTCCTGGTCCTCTGGTCCCTCCCTAAATCCCGAAACCTCCATCCACTCCATCCCGGTCCCCCTTGCTTCCTCCCGACTCCCGACCCGGCCACCCCTCCCAGCCTAAGCCTAAACCCCAGCCCAGGCCTCCTACAAATGATTTCTCTTTCAAAGTAGCAAAGGTATTGAATTTCGAATTTCATTCTCGTGGAATTTCGCACCTCTTAGCTTCCCCCGTCTGGGGTACTAGTCGGCTGCGCCACGAAGAGGCGGGTGCGGGTCGCAGCCGGCCGCTAATCGGCACCCTGCCTAAACCTCCAGCCTGAACCCGGTGTCCTACAAATCTTTTATTTTCAAAAATAGCATGGGTGCAAAAAATGCCCAGTTTGTGGACCATGTTTGATGACATTTGGTTTGAAAAAGCATAAGCAAAGGGATTTTTAACCATGTTGCCAGTGGCCTTGGACCAACCAAGCTGGATTTGAGTTGTTTTGACTATGTCGTCAGTTGCCTATGTTTAAAACAGCCTTTGAACCGATTCCCGACCCACCGAGCGCAAGGGGTGAAGCTAGTAATTCAGCTCCTGGGTTTCACCATATGTGACGGGTGAATTACTGAGTTCGCCTCAAAAATCTTCCGATCCTCAGTTTGGCCGCTCCCCATTAAGTCCATCCGATCTGGCGACACCCAAAGTCTCCGGCGCTGGGTGTCACGTGGAAACCGGGCAGGCACTCACATAAGCATGTCTGAGGCCGGCGCTGCATCTTCTGTGATATCCCCCGCTGCGTCGAGGCCCTGTGACAGGATCGCAGCTGCTCTGCGGGCAGCCGTGGTGCATGACAACCAGGCAGAGCCGGGCGGGCGCTGCTTTTCTACTGCGCCATGACGTCACCGTCTCGTGACCCGCCCCGCGGGTCGCTTGCGTGGCCGCGCGTCGTGATCACTCATCCAACGCAGCACCCATTCTTCAGCCAGCTTTTTTGTATGGAAGTAGGGGCTCTGTACGGCCTTGCCCCCCGCCCCACACTTGAACTCCCAAGCGCTCCACCCCCTGGACAGCCTGTACCCACTGCACGTCACCCCCGGAACAGAGGATGTGTGACTTGCCTTTGCGGCAGTCTTCACGGGAACGCATCGAGACAAGGCCATGAGCGAGCGCAGCCAGGACTCCGCCTGCACCAAGGCCAAGTTCCACGCGCACCGATGACTCACGCCCAGAGAGATCTGCGCATCCAGCGGGAACCTCCGGCAGCGGCGCTTGCCACTGCTGGCCTCCGTCCAAGTGGTCTTCCACACGCCATGCGTCCAGGAGATGTTCGTCATGGACGGTGTGAGATCTTCGAAGTCCTCTGGCCCGTCATGCCACTCCCACAACTCTTCGTCGTCCTCCTCGTCCGGAAGACTCGCTAAAGGGTCAGGACTGTCGTCGTCCTGATCGTCGTCTGACTGGACGCTACAGACATTCTCGCTGGAAGTCACGAAGGGCGCGGGCACCTGCCGTCACCAACACCGCAGAGCCTCTATATATGCTCATGAATGCTCCCGTTGTAGCAGCCTCCGCAGACACCGCCTGGACACTGCGCATCTCCGTCCCCCCCCGGTGTCAGCGGAATCAGCATGGGCGGGGGACACAGGACGTGGACGTTCATCCAAACATTGCAAATCCCGGCCTCTGTGACAGCCGGTCCACATGCAACAGCCGGAGAGAGCCCCTTCCAGGATGCCAACCGGCTATAAAGTTTGTTGCTATGTGGAGTTGTCCAGCGATATCTGAGGCGGTCCTCGTCTCCCGAGTCCCAGTCCGGATTCGGGATGGGATCGGCTGCGATGCCCTCCGCAAGTGACGATCAGAGCTGGTCTATGAAACCTGCATGATAAGATGCCGTCCTCGTCTCCCGAGTCCCAGTCCGGATTCGGGATGGGATCGGCTGCGATGCCCTCCGCAAGTGACGATCAGACCTGGTCTATGAAACCTGCATGATAAGATGCCGGCCGGAACTGCAAGGTCCAGAGTCGAAACGTTTGGGTCAACCTCCAAGCGAACACGACAGACACCATTGACACCCAGCGCCGGTCCAGAGTAGGAGACCCGGCCTATCCTTAAGAGAGAACACGGCAGGGGCGCCGGCCTCAAGGCCGAGCCAGCTGTCCATGGCGATCTGCATCTGACGCGGCCAGCAAATTGGCCACAGGTGTGAGGGTCTAAATGCAGGAACAGCAAGGCCTGGAGGTCAGGATCTAGGCGGGACACGATGCCTCTCTCCTGCTGTCCGAGAACTGCGTCTAGCCCATCTCTGGCAGCGTGGTATTATGACACCACGGCCCGGACCGGAGACAGAGCGGACTCCCGCACTACGTTGAGAGTCCCGGCTTCCTCGGAGGCTTCCAGCATCATGCAGACCAATGTCACAGAAAAGCAAACAATTCAGTGTCCAGTCTGGGCGGCACACCTTCCCTCCAGATCTTATGGGCGTCGCAACTCGGACGGGCAGAGCGTTGTTGCAAGGCCATGCTGCTGAGTTGGGTGCCCGGCAGTCCTGTAGCCGCGTTCCCCCATTCAGGTCGACGTGCCCCTCGAAACATTTGTGGCACAAGTCTGAATAAGTTAGAGGGGTGGCTGGACTGTCGGAGCTTCGGGATATGGCGAATCTCAACGTGGCACACAGGCGGAATCTCCGTTTTTTTCGGAAATGTGGACGATTTGGCTGCTCTGTTTCTGCGACGGTTCCTTGGAAATCTGAGCTGCAGGCAGTGACCGGTTCCCGTCGCGCAGGTGTTGCAACTAAGCTGAGAAGCCGGCCACCCGCTCGCAAGAAGAAACAGTGGCCGGGACACTAGGTGCCCAGCATTCCTCCATCATCATGTCGCCCAGGTCCAAGTATTTCTGCAAATGGCAGTGCCGTGCAACAAGACATGATCCCATATCTTTTCGCAGGGCTAGCATGCCTGCAACCTCGCATGCCCCGGCGTTAACGGCGAAAAATCCATGGCTGTGCAGGGGGGGATCTAGAGTGACACCGGCCATGACCAGAAGTAGAGGTCTGGCAATATGCCTTGTCTTGCTCTCTATCACAGGCAGCATGTAATGCCCTACGGTCGCGTGGATTAAACACTCGGTCGACGTACAGGCACTGCGAGGGCCCACACCCAGAGCAAAAGCCCAGATCGACATCAGACATGCGCGCATATGCTGACACCTTTTGTCAACGTCTCCACGCGACACCGAGCGCGGGCCATCTTAGAGCGAACCTGATCGCGACATGCAAGCAAAACCCTCACTTTAGGCCCCAGTGGTCTCTGCATTAGAGCGCAGATTCGCGACGACTTTTACAGGAGCCCTAGAAGCACGCCCAGAATGACGACAATCCCTACACCGCCTGTGTCAAACCTGCTTCAAGCGCAGGATCCCCTACTCCAATGTTCTCAAACCTGGCATAAGAGCGCAGATTCGCGACGACTTCTGCAAGAGCCATTGAAGCACACCGCGAGAGACGAAAATCCCTACCCCACATGTGTCAAACTGCCTTGAAGAGCAGGATTCCCTCCGGCAGTGGTCTCCAACTGGGCACGAGAGCGCGGATTCGTGACGACTTCTTTCGGAGCCCTACAAGCACGCCCACAGACACGAAAATCCCTACCCCACGTGTGTCAAACTTGCTTCAAGAATCTTCAAGAGCCAGATTCCCTACGCCACTGATGTCAGACGTGGCATAAGAGCCTAGAATCGCGACGACCTCTGCAATTGCCTTAGAACCACACCTGGAGAGACGAAAATCCCCACCCCAGATGTGTCAAACTTGCTTCAGGGGCAAGATTCCGTATCCCTCTGGTTTCACAGTAGGCCCGGGAGCGCACCTCTGGTCTCAAACTCGGAACAAGAGCGCAGATTCAGGCTAACTTCTACGAATCTTTGAACCAGACCCAGAGGCCTGAAGTCCCTACCCCTCCTGTCTCAAACTGGGCACAGGAGCCACGGCAGATTAAAGGGACCCAAGAACATCCCTGGACGACCTGGCCACAGAAAAAAGGCTGCCAGGAGACACCCAGCGCCGGCCCGCAACGGCCTCTTCAAGAGAATTGGCTTTGCTTGCAGCAGGGGGAGTTGGTATATGTAGGTATCAGGAGTGTGCGAGATTCTAAGGGAGCGTGTTTTTAGCCGATCAGTCGGTCGTGCACCTTGGCAGGCCCATGGGCTGGAGCTCCCTCTGGGTGATTTTGCGGAAGACCTTGCGGCACAGTACCAGGAGCTCATGGGCTTGGTCCAAGTACTGCGCGGTGACACGCGGTTTCATGCAGTGCGGCTGCAGGGTGGCCAAAGTTTGGAAAGCGCCACGCAGGGCCCCAGGACCCACAAGCACCAAATCGGTGTTGATCATGGCGTGGCGAGCCATTAGAGCTTGGCAGTTCTTCCCTCGAAGAATGCCAAACGACGCTGCCAACAGATGGACCCGTGCGCGAGAAGTTGGGTGGTGTGCCATGTCCACAGAAACAACACGGCAGAAGCTGACCAACGCCTCAAACCACCGCCGAGCTTTCGAAACCGACATTTTGCGCACCTTCCGCGCCTCCGCCCTCCCGAACCTCTCAGTCAGCAGGTCGGCCGGGTGCTCAACACGGTCTAACACGCGTGCAACTGCAGCTCGGAGCACCAGAATGTTCTGGCACTTCTTCCTCCCCAGCTCGTCCGTCAACATCTCCGTAAAAGGCCTCGAGGAGAGCCGCCCCAACAGCACTGCTGCCTCCCGGCGTTGGCCATCCCGGGACGGCAGGGCAGATATGATTGCGTCCTGGAGCAGACTAGTGCGATCTGTGGCTTCGCAGTTGATGTCGGTCTTCAAGATCTCGCTCAGGGAAGTTGCGTATTCGTGCCGGTACCGTGCACTTTGCGGGCGGTTCACCTCGCGGCAGGTCACCTTGCAAGCCTGTGCCAGGACCTCTTGGGCGCCTAAGCTGGACAGCATGTCTTCATAACTGCGTTTACGCGAGTCTTTGCGCCAGCCTTGAGAGGTCGTTGTGGCTTTCCGATAATATTTATCATACAGGTTGCGAAGGAGCAAAGCTCTGCACGCGAGCTCTGGAGTGCCTGCGAAGACCAGGCGACGTTTCAGGGGAACCTTTCGATGCAAGCGCCGACATCTCTTCCGCACCGACTCCGGCAACGAATCCCGGGCCATTGCCTAGATGAGACTAGATAAACTTCGGACGGGCATGCAGGCAGTTGTTTTGCTGCTGGGGCATCTTGGATGGAGTTCGCTGGTTAGTTCGTGACGTTCACCGCAGTACAGCCGTTCCTACAACCACTGTAGCGACTTTGAGGAACACCGGCAACTACGACTTGACAGCGAGAGGCTTGCGTTTGAGCGATACGTCTGTCCAACACACAAACACTGGGACACCGAACGAACGGTTTGACAACTTGCAAATGCTGCAGGAGCAATCCCACACGACACCAGCTTTTGCGGACGACACCAGCTGTTGCGGTGCTTTGCTGGAGATGTCGGCAAATGTTTGGAGCAGCTGGCAGCCGAATCTCTGGAATTTCCGAAAAAACCCACGATTCGGCCAGTGCTGCATGTGCATGTACCCTGTCGGGCCCAGCCTCAAGCCCCCTTCAACGACACGGGCAACCTAAACCAGACCCCAACAGCATCGACTCAGATGCCTTCTGCCGGTCATCGAAATGCCGCTTCCCGACGCCCCGCGTGAACCTCGTGCGTGGTTAGAGCTCTACGCAGGAGTTGGACGGCAGTTGGAGCCCGCCAGCTGGGTCTACCTGGTCTTCGGGCTTGGGGGGAGGTGGTTAGAGGTATTTAGTCTCTTGAGGCTGGGGTGTTCCAGCTTTTTCCACGCCGGCGCTGGGTGTCACGTGGGCGAGTCTCTCTGCCTAGAGACTCCAAAACTCCTGAATTAAGGAATATACCTTAAATTAAAATGGAATCCATAGTGTGATTAAAAGTAGAATGGGATCCCTAATATGTTTCAAAGTATATTCCTAATTAAGGGGTTTTGGAGTCTCTGGGTGTGGGACTCAGGCGGAATCTCCCAGTTTTCCTGTATTTTGAATGATTTAGCCTTCAACATTTCAGGTCTGTCTTTGATATTGGCCGAATGAGCGAGGGCCGAAGGAGAGCTCTGCACAAGATTTCGGTTGTAACAGGGCTTGGGCGGTCAGGGGATTAGGTGGTGGTTGGGACGACCCTAGATTTCCAGGTCCCGCGACCCCAAGCTTAGACCCTGAACCCCGCAACCGTGCGCCTTTTGTGCAGCTGGGAACATCCGACCCGTGCACCGCCGTCGCCATGGACCTGGCTTCTGATGGTTTAAAGGGATTCATGTTTGCTTCTTGTTTAACAGCTTGGCTTTGCCAGAGCTTTCGGGTCTGGGAACGGTGGTTTGGAACCTGTCAAAGCGTAAACCCGGCGAAGCGTCGACCCTGGATCCCAACTCCGACAGAGTCTTAGACCCGCACCCCGAGACTTCGGCTGCGGTACCTTGCCTCTCCATCATCCGTCACGGCGGCCTCGTCCACCGCAGTCATCAGAGCCTGGCAAAACCCTGCTACAGCCCGGCGTCACATGGTCGAGACAACGCTACACACCGAAACCCCGGATGCGGCTGTACCGTGGGCTTGGGGGGAAACCTCAGCTTTGGAGCCTTGCTTCCTCTCGTGGACCTGGATTTGAAGCTTCTAGGGCTTCGGAGCTCAGAGCTTGGAGGCTGGCGTTTGAGCTCAGCCCTGGAACCTAAACCCTGAGCGGCTGAATCTCTGGAAAAACGCACGATTCGGCACCTAAACCCGAAACCCTGGCTGAGGCACCTTAAAGCAGCTGTTTGGCCGAAATTCTCGCTGCTCATGAGCAGTGCCATCAGTTCCCACATGCCATGCGCTCCATGCCATGTGCTACATGTGTCCGCCAATGCGTACAGGCTAGAATTGATTCCAAGGTCGCGAAAGCAGACAAGCATAAGGGAATGGGGAGCTAGAGCCAGGTTTGGAGCATGTAATAATCTCAACACATATAAGTCATGGCCGTCTACCCGCCGTGCTACCAGAATCTGTTGCACTGCATGCTGACACGAGAGTTGAGCCTCGACTACGGCAGCCTTACAAACCATGTCAGCACATGGTCGCAGGGTCCAAGTCGATCGCACGTCATCGGGCCACGAAAAAGGCCTTCCCAACACCAGCGGATTGCCCCAAGACGGTGGCCGCCTGCCAGTGGAGCAGAAGTTCTCAGTACAAAAAAAAAAGAGAGCGAAGCACAAGGCAACCTGAGCTGCATCGGTGCAGACTTGCTTCTTGCGCCTGCCCATCATGCAGTGGCCCCGTCAGAGGGGATTCCTGACAGCATCTGCCGGAGCTCGACTATGACCAGGCCCTTCGTCTCCTCGGCTGTCGCCGTCGTAGTCACCTAACGTGGCTCAAATCCGCCGTCTAGTCTGAGCAAAGAAAACACGGCTGGCGGAGCCTGCGAGGAGAGTGCCGTGTGAGAACCGTCCTGGCACTTGGCCCGCAGCCACAACATGACTCGGAGGGAGCTGCACACAACCATGCCTTCACCTCCTCGGCATTCGCTGTCCCAGCCTGACTTGAATCACAGCTGTCAGTTGCACTCCTTGACCGGCCAGGCGGGCCTGAGAAGGCAGCACCAACCCGCCCTCCTGGCTGGGCATGTGGCACCATGTGAAACCCCGCACGCAAAGACAAGAGACGCAAGAGATAGGAGTGCCTGCATCTCGTCGGCCTGCTCTGTTGCATCGGCCTCACGTGGGTGCGGGTCGTCAGTACGTGAAACATCGGAGGCAACAGTTGGTTTTGAACCGGCCTTCGCCACATTCGACTGCAGGTCCTGCGACAGGGCTCGGCGCAGGTCGGAGCCAATGAAACTTCTCAGCCTCCTAGATAAAACGCGCACGCCTTCTCCATTGCGGAGCGAGCTTTCTGGATGGATGCAAGGTCCGGTGTCCGATTGGTGTACACCCAGTCGATGCTGCCTCCTGGCCTCAGAATGATCGTGTGCAAGGAAGCGATCGTAAGCAGATTCAAGGCCAGGGCGTCCAGCACTCGTGATGAGAACTGCGGCCGACTGCAGAAACCATCTTGCACCTGCCAATCCCCCTTCATGTGGATTGGCACTTGAACGACACTTGCCCCCCGCAAGAGATCTCGAACGCACCTGCACCGCCAGATACGACTCGTGAGGTCATACTGCATCGGCAGCATCTCGAAGCAGCAGTCCCGGGATCCCTGCAGACAGCCACACCATCCTATAGAGCCAGTCAACCCCTACTAAATAAGGCCCCGGCGCATGTTGCCGGCTGTCTTCGGCCAGGGCGCAGCACGTCAACAGGTGCTTCGGGCTCATTCACCAGACGCGCACGACGGCCGGTCATGTTGCTACCACACACTCCGGGAACTAGCTGACGCTACCGGACAATCGACGGCTGCCGCAAGCACGGTGATTGTCAGAAGTTGCTATTGAATATCGGGCAAGAGCAACTTGTCAATGTGCCAGACAACCCCGACGGATCCGAGCCTGCGACATCACAACTACCAGACATCCCAAGAAGCCTGACCCCCCCGGCCCACGTGAACTTCACGCAGAAAGCCGCAATTGTAGAAAACCCTTCCTGCATTTATGCGCCCCCCCAATCCTACATTTAATAACCCGGGGGGGATAACAGCCGAATATGTGTACTATGCTATAGATACAGATTATGGTAGTCTGATATCATCCGAAACTGTTGAATATGAACACTGTAGATCGAAGGTAGAAGGCAGAGATCAGCCTTATGTTCTTGTCTAGTGTATTACAATATGTTGTGATATGACATTGGCAGTGAAGCACACGATAGCATATTGTAGCGTTGAGGCTATATTACAGTGCGGTATAGCATACACTATTTGGGATACGATACTCCAGTACAGCACTACCGCAACATGGTATAGGATAATACACTGTTGCATGGCCCTGTTTACTATTTTCGGAGGGTATAGTAGAGCATAGCATGATATAGCAAGGTATAGTGCGCTAGCATAGTATAGCGAATTATAGTCAAGAGTCTAGTGTACTGTTCTGCCGTCAGTTCTCGTTCATTATATAAAGCACGAGCATAGATCATAGAAAGAGCGATTTGCGTTCATGAACCGAAGAATGTGGTACCATGCACACCACATATCCACTCACAAGGCTCGGGGTCGACACCACAGGGTATCTGCTCGCAGTACTCTCGGTGCCAAAATGGTGGGGTATATCGCAAGTACGAATTGAGGCTGTACTTTCTTTGGTAGTGTGTGTGCTGTCCACGTATAAGATGAATAAAATCATGAGTTCGACTTCCCATTAGGCTAATCTTCTTTCACTGGACTAATCGAAGGGCCTTCAATTGCTTGTATCGGCTATGCATATGATATGATGTTTAATGTTTCAATTTAGGTTATTAGAACGTAGCATAGTACAATGTATTAAAGATAAGCATTGACGCCATAATCTAGTATGGTGTCATGCAGTCTAGTATAGCAAAGTGCAATGTAGTACATTTCAATACGGGCAAACCCAGTACAGCAAACTCGAGCATAGATGACGATTTATTATCAAGTATTGTATGGCACAGTGTCGACTGCTATGCAATGCAATGCGGTATCGTGTAATCCAGCATAGCACAAAGGGGCTTGGTATATGGTAGTGCAACTTACTACATTCAAACATAGCGTAGTCTAGCACCAACGCAATATAGGATAACCTTGGACGTTACGGTGTTGCATAGTTTCGCAATGGTGTGCAAAAACAAATGGCTACTATAGTATATCAGCGGCACACCTGTACTCTGGTATGGTGGAGTAGACTATAGTACATAATTATTGGGAGCCCTATGATCCTGAGCTCTGCAGCATTAAGATCAACAGATGTGGAAATATGGAAAGCCCAATGGAATTCCACATTTCCACGTTTGCAGAGCTCTGTGGCTTTGGACGCAGCACATGTGGAAAGGTGGAATTCCATTGAGGTTTCCGTTATGTGCCAGACAGACAATGCTGGGCCCCCCTGGGTCCAAGAACCAACATTGCAGAAACAAACTCTTGGATCCGCTCCGAGAGCCACGCGCCCCGATTTAAAGTTTTGAAAAGCTTAAGTCATTAAGCCGGTGCCCTCCCGGATCCAAGATGGATCCAAGAAACTTTTTTCTGCAATCTTGGATCTTGGATCCGGGAGGGCCCCGACTTAATGACCTAAAAAATTAAGTCATCAAGTCGGGGCCCCGGCTGGATCCAAGATCCAACATTGCAGAAAGAAGTTTCTTGGATCCATCTTGGATCCGGGAGGGCCCCGACTTAATGACTTAAAAAACTTGAGTCATTAAGTCAGGGCCCCGGCTGGATCCAAGATCCAAGATTGCAGAAAAAAGGTTCTTGGATCCATCTTGGATCCGGGAGGGCCCCGACTTAGTGACTTAAAAAACTCAAGTCATTAAGTCAGGGCCCCGGCTGGATCCACGATGGATCCAAGAAAATTTTTCCTGCAATCTTGGATCTTGGATCCGGGAGGGCCCCGACTTAACGACTTAAAAAAATTAAGTCATTAAGTCAGGGCCCGAGCTGGATCCACGATGGATCCAAGAAACTTTTCCCTGCAATCTTGGATCTTGGATCCGGGAGGGCCCCGACTTAACGACTTGAAAATAATTATTAAGTCATTAAGTCAGGGCCCCGGCTGGATCCAAGATGGATCCAAGAAACTTTTTTGCAATCTTGGATCTTGGATCCAGCCGGTGCTCTGGCTTAATGACTTAAAAAATTTAAGTCATGAAGTCAGGGCACCGGCTGGGAACACAACCGACAAGGAACAAACAAGCGTCCACGGCGTCCCCTTCTGTAGGGTTTTAGGATTTGTATATATATATATATATATATACATGTATATGTATATGTATATATATATATATGTATTTTAGGGTGTCTGGGGCTTAGGGTTTTAGGTTTTAGAGTGTTTGGGGTTTAGGGTTTAGGGCGTTGAGGGAAGATGCCGAAAGTTAAAGCTGGGTTTTCGAGGATGCATTCTGGTACAATGACGCCAAGGAGCATTGAGACGTGCCTCTCTAATCGTCAAGGTCTCTACGCATTTAATACATGCAGGGTTTCAAAACGGGTCGTTTCATTAGAGTTTGGAGAGGAGTTCAAAGGGGCTCTAAGACTAAACCCTAAACCGCAAACCCTAAACTCTAAAGACAGCTTGCGGCTAAAGGCTTCAGACAAGGGCTGGATATCGGGCTACTGCGACGTTTAGGGTTTAGGGGTTTAGGGTTTAGGAGGGTTCCTATAACGGTTCTATTTGCGGTTTCTGGCTTTAGGCTTTGCTAGGGCTTGGGTTTCGGGTTGTGGTTGAAGCTTGAGGTCGGGGGGCCTCGAGTCTTATAAGACGGCTCAAACTCGCCGACGTGGGGGATATTGAACTATATCTAACTGAGCTAAAAATTCATACTTTGTTGTTATTGTACCATCTAATATACTATAATTTATCAAACTATATCATACAAGTCTACTAAAGTATTGTATTCTGTTGTGGGAATGGTCAGATGTCAAAACCTTGGGTTTGCCTCATGCATTGAAATGCTTTGCTGCTCTGGTATGCAGAACGGCCTTTGCCGCAAGTTACTATGCAAAAAAGATGGTTCTAGGGACGGTTTAGGGTTTAGGGCTCAGGGTCCCTGACCCCTAAACCCTAAACCCAAACTAAACCCTCAACCCTACACCCTGGTACAGCTTACTGTGGTGCATCTTCGGCGCATCTGCAACTCTGCTCGCCAGATTGAACCCAAACCCACATGGGTAGTTGTCTGAATTAGGGTCCTGTTTGGTTCCTTTTAAAAGCTTGTGTGCTACTTTGGCACCTAGAATCTAGAAAGGAGCCTTACTTTAGAGAACTACCAACATGCCAAAGCCCATCTGTGTCGTTCAAGGTTTAGTCCAAACGAACGCAGCTCCGCAAGACAGGACTAAGCACCTCGCTCTGTCGAAACGCTTCAACCCCAACACCAAACTCCCTTCGCAATAAAAGAAGGAAGAAGGGAGAACAACACAAGCCAAAAGCAAACAACAACAAGCCGCAACTCCAGTAAGTATCAGATGACAACACCAGCAATGCCAGTGGTAAGTTGTTGCTCACAATATGAAGACAGCCGCAATGCGAAGCAAACAATTTTGAACACACAAGTGCCGCGGAAATAGCAAGAAGAACAATAACAATAGCGATAAAAATCAGCTGGCTGTAGTCAGTATAGCAACAATAAAAGCTGAGAATAACAACGGTAATACTCAACATCATTTGGTCATAGTAATCACCATAGTCATAAAAAATCGCAATCATCAGAACTCATCATAAGAACAAGATACTAAGAAAATGACGAACAAATAACAACACATGCCATGGCTATAGTCACCGTCATCATGTAGTCATAGTCACCGACTTAATGCCAACAACAACAACAACAACAACAGCACCAGCAGCACCAGCACCAGCAGCAGTAACAACAATCAGAATACTAACACCGATATGACCCATCATAGCGAAAGCTGCAACAGGAAAACAGGAAGCAAGAAGAAGAGGGAGCATAAAAACAAGAAGAAGAATGATGAACCATCTTCGCCATAATCATCATTATCGAAATAACAGTCGAAATAGCACTAACAGTCGAAACACCAGCAATAGTAGTACGTAATAGCAACAATAACACCCCAGCATGGAATACTCCCAATGTCAAGGATCAGCAAGCTTCCGCTGGTTGTCGCGCAGCCGCGAAACTTCGGTCATGACGCGCGCCGGGTCTGGGACCAAACCTGGGCCAGGGATCCTGCTTAGGGTTTAGGGTTTGGGATTTAAGATTTAGGGTTTAGGGTTTCAGATTTGATTTAGGGTTTAGGATTTAGGATTTAAGATTTAGGGTTTGAGATTTGGGGTTTAAGGTTAGGGTGGATGTTTTGGAGCCTCGGTCAGTGGGTGTCTGTGGGTGTGCGTGTATGTGTGTGATATAGGGGCCGATCTATTTGGAATAGGGTTTGGGGCCCAGCATACTATAGTTATAGTAAGGAGCCCCCAAGATAGTATAGACAATTATTAAAGCCTACATATGTATGTGTGTATGTATGTGTGTGTATATATATGTATATATATATATATAGTGGTGTGTGTGTGTGGGGGGGGGTAGGGGGGTTGGCTTTTTGGGTGCTCTACATCTTCCACGACCAATGTTGACAAGGCTTCGAGGTTTGGACAGGCGGGGATTTCGGGTTTAGGGTTTGTCTTTTAAGCAACTCTTTGCCAACTTGTAGGCTTAAGGGTTGAGGGTTGGGGATTTACTGTCAGGTACCCTCAGAAAGCCGAACAGGCTGGGAAACTCCGGATCACGGCCTGAGGGCTTTGCTGTTGTTGCCAGTTTTTGCGAATAATGCTCCTCACGGCTCTGACCTTGATTCTCACTGCCTTCTGTATTCTTACTGGCAGTGTTACTACCGACAGTCATCTGCCGGCGTGGAGAATCACCAAGGCCTTTGTGGGCGGATACGGATACGATGTCTGATGAATCTGTATGGCCTCATGCGGATGGTATGGACCGGATGTTTAGGTGGGCCTCATTGGGAGTTTCCGAAAAGAGGGGGCCCCAATATATAGTACCCTAAATAGTAGGATCCTTATTATAAGGACCCCAAAATAAAGTATATACCCATAATTTTCGGCAACTTTAAACCTTTAAAGAGCCCTTTAAAGGAACCCTTTATAAGGACCCCAAGGTACCCCCTATCTTCGGAAACTCCCTTATAGGGTTGTAAGACCTAGCGTTCACGGAGCCGTCTCCAGGATCCTGCTGGTACTTGGAGGTTCAGGGGTAGTTATAAGGGTTCCTTTAAGGGTCCCTTTGAAGGGTTCTGTAGGGATTTAGGGTTTAGGGTTTTTAGGGTTTAGGGTTTAAGGTCTAGGGTAGTTATTATATTATAAGTGGGGTTATAAGTCCGCTAATATGGGTTATAAGTATAATTACCCTACTTATAACCCTACGTATAACTAGCCCTGAACCTCCATGTAAGACTATCATAGCAAGCTACGTCCATCATTCTCTTGAAGAGAACCCTACGGCAGAACCCTAAAACGCCCTACAACAAAAGATCCTAATGCCGTTAAATCCTAGTCAAGATCCCGGACTTTATCTGATGAGTACTTGCCATTGCTGGGGTAATGGGCTTTCAGGGAGTTCTGGCTTGCGGCTGCAAAAGCATGAATTACAAAACCATCCTCGGTGCTGACATCGGGTATCCCTGAATGTCAGCACAACATGAATTAACGCGACAGCGACCATGGCCGCTCCTATCGGTACCATCGTCACCACCATCACCACCATCACGATTCTGATTATTCGGGCTCGGGGGCTAGATTATACTATATTGATCTTATGAAGAACACCCCCCCCCCAAAAAAAAAAAAAAAAAAAACCTACCACCGCCATCATGAGTCTTTGTCGTTGTCAGGGCCGACAGCGTCTGTGAGACCGAAGCCCTGGACGTAAATGCCCTGGCCCTACTTGGAGGCTCATGGCTTAAGGACGGGTCCCTTCCAGAACCCCCAAGTACCCTTTAAAGGGCTCTAGTATTTCTCATTAAAAGGTACTTTGGGGCTACAATACAGGGTAGTTGGGGGGCTTAGGTTTGAAGGGTTCTGTAGGGATTTAGGGCTTAGGAAATTTTAGGGCTTTAGGGTTTGGGGTTAGGCCTAATAGTTATAAGGGTTCCTTTAAGGGTCCCTTTGAAGGTTCTGTAGGGGTTTAGGGTTTAGGAAAGTTCCATGCTTTAGGGCTTTAGGGCTTCAGGTACTTATACGTGGGATTATAAGGCCCCTAATGTGGGTTATAAGTATAGTCAGTATAGTTACCCACTTCTAACCCTACTTAAAAACTACCCATGAACCTCCAAGTAACCCTAAGCCTACGCCTAACACCCAATTCCGTCTCCCGCGACGTCCCCTTAAAGGACCCGGACCCCTCAAAGGAACCCTAAACCCTAAACCTCTAACGGAAGCCGGACCTTTGGAGCAGCCCTGACTTGCGCAACTCGGAGGCCTCAATAGGTGGGATGAAGGTAGGCAGGATCAAGGATCCCTTATATACGGATTCTTATTTGGGAATATCCCACCTAGATTCATCCCACCTTATTGAGGCCAACCCTAAACCTTAAACCCTAGACCCAAACCCTAAACTCTAGACCCTAAACCCTAAACCCTAGACCCTAAACCCTAAACCCTACACCCAAACCCAAACCCTAAACCCTACAGCCCTGAATTGCGCAACAAGGCAGGCAGGCAGCTGACGTACGTCGTCAAAGTCTCCAGCGCCTCAGCGGGCCGCTGGCAAAAGGCATGGAACAAAGGTTTAGGGTTTAGGGTTTAAGGTTTAGGGTCTAGGGTTTAGGGTTTAGGGTTTGGGTTTAGGGTTTAAGGTTTAGGGTTTAGGGTCTAGGGCTTAGGGTCTAGGGTTTAGGGTTTGGGGTTTGGGGTTTGGGTTTAGGGTTTAGGGTTTGCCGTAGAGTGGTGCATACGCGGAAGTATCTCGCGACAGTGTAATTTCGAGTGAGTCGTCTTCTGACGATTGCCTGTTGAAGCCTGATTGTCGATGGCTCTTTCTTTTAACTCTCCCACCCCACGCCGTCTAAGGCGGCCAAACCACCCAAACCTATTCCTTTTAGGGCTTAGCCCCTAAACTCAATCCATGGTTTTCTTTATTTCTGCAACCGCAGGGTTTAAAGCAGGCACACGGAAAAGGAGGGGACCTCGATTTTGGCACCTGGCCCCATTAAAATGCACATTTTATGAACGGAATTTGAAGGCAAAACCAACACCAGTCTTGTCGAAGAGGGGCAGGCAGGGCAGGGCGTGAGGGTGGGGCGGGCAGGGCAGGGCAGGGCAGGTGCCAGGGGGGGCCAAGGGGGGCTTTGTGCAAGTCCCCCCAAAACCGGCCTTGGAGGTTTCCTGGTCCTGGAACTCTGCTCGCTGGGGTGTCCCTTTTGGTCCAAAATGGCAAATCGGCTTCAGGGCGGAGGGGGTGCGGTTTAGGGTATTTACTTTATTTGGGACCAATACTAGGCCCAACCGGCCCTAGGCATTCCACACCGACCCCGGAGCACCCCATGCCCTATTATAAATCCTGAACCCGAAAGGCTTTGACCCCAATAACCTCCTGACTTGAGAAACCCTACCTACCTGTAGCCGAAAAGACCTACCTCTTTAAGGAACGGCTACAGGCAGGTAAACCCTAAACCCCCCTTTTCACCCCCCCTAAACCCTAAACCCTAAGCCCCTGAGCCGCCTGGAATCTTTTCGAATGTGGCGTCGAGAGCCGAGGTTTAGGGTTTAGGGGGTAGATTTCGGCTTTAACGGGCCGGTGCGACTAAATTTAACAAAACCTGCAGAAATTTACCAGAGTGGTTTAGAGGTTCGGCATAGTGGCATAGCGCATTCAGGGCTGCGGGGTGTGTTCGCGTTGGGGGCTCAAGGGCTTTAGGTTTAGGGTCTACTGTAGGATTTGCGGGTGAGGGTGATTTACAAAAGAGTATTTTGGTTTAGGGTTTAGGGTTTAGGGTTTTGGTGTTGGTGCCTGTTCTACGACACTCGTGGGCATGGATGGCCGACGGGATATTTGCACGACTGTGCTTGTGATTCCTTCATACAAAACCTGTTGCCTTTAGGGGGTCTCCAAATAAGCACCAAGGGAACGCCTTCTCGGATCCCGGCCTTTCCCGGCGACTCCCGCAAAACCTCCGCAGTTTCACTATGACACAACAAGGATAAGCCAAACATGGAAAAAACTGAAAAACCCAACTAAGCATAGACTTTGCAAACCCATCTAGAATAGGGCTTGGCTTCGTGTTCGGATTCCTTTAAGTGCTGCCTCAGGGGTCACGGCAAGGGCCTCCACTTAGCACAGGGCCCCTGTTTAGAAAAAATGAATGAAGCTTGGGGTGGCACAGTAGTATAGTTGTATAGAGGCGTTATCAGGAACCCTTAAGCAACAAGATTACTAAGTGCTGATGCCCTTATATAACCCCTAAACCCAATTCGCAGGCAAAACTTCCGTCCTGCCAGTATTCGACCACCGCGTCGCGGAGGCTAACCTGTAGATCTTCCCCGCAGGGGTGGGGAGAGTTGATTCATGGCTTTGCTGCTGAAGCGCTCGGTGTTTACTTTGATTCTGAAGGCTGGTATGGGGCTTCACTGCGTCATAGTATGGCGTAGGGTGGCTTAGGGATTCTATGAACCGCACCAGCTTTGGATTTGGAGAATACACGTCCTTGGGGGCTGGTTTTAACATTGTTCAGAGTTTCCGCTCAAGGTTTAAAGCCTGCGGTTCAGGCAAAGAACCTGCGCCCTTCTTCCCCCTCCAGCTCTTCTGCTTGATATCATTGCTTTATTGAATACGAGCACTGATATTCATATTGTTGTTAAGATGAGTTATGTGAGTATTATGAGTATGATAATTATTAGCATTGTTAGTATTGTGAGTATCAGCATTACTGTTTATGCTGGCTACTAGTCGTTTTATTTCTATCATACTGCTAATGTCATAGTGTTAGTGCTATTTTAATGTGGCTCTCGTTATAGATATTGTTATTCGCTATTGTTGTGGTTGTTATTATTATTGTTAGTTTTAGTAATGTTGGTAACTATGTTTTTGTTGTCACTGTTACTGCTACTGTTGTTATTCTTGGTAAGTGTCACTGTTGTTGTGATTGTGATTGTTAGTGTTGTTCCCCCCAAAAAAAATGTGTGTGTATGTATGTATGTATGTATGTATATATATATATATATAGGTTTTTCTCCTCATCCTGACTACCCAAAAGCCCCGGCACCTGGTTGGTGGATTTCGGTTTAGAGCTTTGGGCTTTGGGCTTAAGCTAAGATGGTTTCAGGCTTCAGGTTTAAGGGTTCAGAGGCTTAACAATTAGAATTGTGCTTTGGCGTATACAAGTATACTATAATCTTAACAAGGAACCCCCTTCAAAGCCTCTCTAATTATTAAGGCACCTACATAAGGGATGTAGGGCTTGGGGCTTATGGATTTAGTGTTTCAAAGTAGCGCTTCAGGGGCTCAAGGTGAGTTTGGATGGCTCAGGGCTTGCAGTGCTCGGGATCTGGATTTGGGCTTGGGATTGAAGAACCAGACCTAAGAGTAACCTAGGAACAAAAAGGGTGAAGGGGGTTTATAAGGGAACCTAAACCCTAATAAAAGGGAATAAGGGCCTACTCTGGGTCCCAGAGAAGGCCACTCGAAGGCTCTTTGCGAGGCGACTTAGCCACAAGGCTCCAGAATCCCCCAAACCTCACATCTTAAGCTCTAGGTCCGAAATCCGATATCCGAAACCCTCAACCTTCAGACCCAGGGTTTATTCGGGTTTAGGGGTTTTACTATACCCCACTCAGAACCCTAATAGCTCAGTATTGGCAATATTCTCTTGTGTTGTATATGAACAAAAATAAGAAAAGACAATATACCTACTGTAAGGAACTCTAAACCCTAATTAAACCGCTTAGACCTAAGGAACCCGAAACCCTAAACCGCTTAGGGTTCCAATCAGTCGCACCTTCTGGAGCTGCTCGCTGATCTTGTCACGCTCCTGGTAGGCGTTCTTGACACCGGCCTTCATCTTCGCGACATCGGCCTGCGCTGCAAACCGATGTAATGTAATACGATATGGTGTGATATAATAAAATATCATGCCATATCAATATCAGTGTATATATATATATCACGTAATATGATAACACCTATGATATAACATAACACATATAGCAAGTATAGCATAATATAGTGTAATGCAAACAATACACTACAACATGATGCAATGTAATGTTATCACAGTGTGAGGCTTGAGGGCTTCGGGATCGGGGCCCGGGTGTCAGGGCATGAGGTTTCGGGAATCCTAACCCAGGGCCCCAAAAAGGCGCATAAGCAAAAATTAGGATAGGGATATCCCATATAAACCCCCTTACAATCTAGACTGAAGAGTAACCTATGAATAAAAAGGGTGCCCTTTTTGGTTTAAAGGCGGTTATAAGGGAACTTAAACCTTTAAAAAGGGAATAAGGGCCTACTCTGGGTCCTTATAATGAAGCCCAATAAGGTCGGGATATCCCTATAAAATGCTTATGCTTATTTTGGGACCCCTAAGGCGCCTTCAACAGTCCCCGAAACTTTTTAGGGTTTAGGGTTTAGGGTTTTGGTCACGGCTTAGGGTTTAGGGTTTAGGGTTTAGGGTTGGGTCTCTATACTAAACAATAACTAGGATACCCAGTAACCTAAGAATAAAAAGGCCTCTCTTTTTGGTATTGGGTAACTTTATAGGGAACCTAGGACTACAAAAAGGGAATAAGGGTTAAACAAGGTACTTGTACCCATAGTCTCAAACTCTCTGCACAACCCTGTGAAAGCCTCCAAAGCCGATACAGCCCTACGCAACCTTTATGAAGCCTCATACTTAAACCTAAATCCTAAACACCAAACGCTAAACCCCTAAACACCAAAACCCATAAATAGAACCTCCTGCTTCTCCACCGCGTGCTGCACGGTCCGAAAGCGGCCCTGCTGCAACTCCTGGGCTGTTCCATAACAAAGTTTATACGGTTCTGGGTAAAGGGTTTAAGTTTAGGGTTTAGGGTTAGGGCATTACAATGGGAACCCCGAAACAAAAACAAACTGAAAAGTGTGCCTCCGAGAACAAACTAGTCTCACGGTATTCCACGGCTTTCTCACGGCTGGATTTGGCAGTCTCCACCCGGTCTCCTGAGATGTCGAAAAATGCTTTTCTGGATTTGGGGTTTAGGGTACTACTGGGCATCGTAGCTTTTCTGGATTTGGGTTTTGCGGCTTTGGGCTTAATGTAAAGGCCGTAATGATGAGAACAGGGTTTTGGGCTCCTTTGTGGCATCATTAGCATAAGGAGCCCTAAGGAATGATATTGGTATTCCTTTAAGCTTCTACAGTAGGTCTTCAGGGTTTTTTGGGGGCTTCGAGAAGGCTTGGGACTGGTCAGGATTTCAACGGCCGCCGTTTAGACTTTCAATGCTTCCGGCAGGGGATGACGAGTCAGGGTTCAGTAGTTTTCGGCCTTACAGCTCTGAGATGTCGGGATTTTCGCTGGAAAATGCAATGGCACTTTCTCCGCAGGTCCAGCACCCACCTCTCAAGAGATTTGCAATTAACGTCGGCCTAACTTCGACGTCTCAACCATCAACAGCTACATAGTCCAGCCAAAAGCAACACGACCCTGTTTCTGTCAGTTGATGACCCCTTCACCCTAAACCCCAAAACCCTAAACCCAAAACCCTAAACCCAAAACCCTGAACCCCAAAACCCCAAACCCTAAACCCCAAAACCCTAAACCCTAAACCCAAAACCGTAGCAGACAATCATCAGACAAAGAAACCCCGAAGGCACAGGAATGGCCTGCACCTCAGCACCAGCGGTGCTCGGTTTTTTCTCTTTTTTTTTGGGAGGGGGGGGGGGGGGGGGGCATTGCTGAGAAGTCGGGTGTTTTCCCCAAACCTTTTCTCGACAAAATCGCGCCAGCGCTTTCACTAAAGAGACGAGCATCACGGAAGGCCTGTTAACAGGAAGGTGCTGTATCATTGAGAGTTCAGAGACTTGGGTTTGGAGATTCAGCTTCAGCGCGCTCAGCTTTGTGAGGTGCTGGGTCGTTGCATTTGGCTTCAACCCCAAGCCCTAAACCCTAACCCCTAAACTCTAAACCCTAAACCTTCAACCCCTAAACCCTAAATCCTGAACCTTAAACCCCTAACCCCTAAACCCTAAACCCCAAACCCTAAACCCTAAACCTGAAACCCCCAAGCCCTGAACCTTGAGTCCCCAAGCCCGAAACACGAATTCTCCCCGAGGTCGCTGAGTCGCCCATTTATAATAAGGGTACCTTTGTCCCTACCAGGGTTTAGGTTTTGGGGTTTAGGGTTTAGGGCCGTTTAGGGTTTAGGATTTCGGGTACCTTTGGTCCTACTATTCGTTAGAAGGGGCCTCCACCCTGTAATAGTGGTATAATCGGAATATAATAGGGCCTTAATATAATCCTTATAGTCACTATTACAGGGTGGGGGCAGCTTCTAAACTTTTCGGAGATCATAAGGGGACCCTAAAACAAGAAGGGCAAAACAGTACTACTCAGGAACCTAGTTAACCAGGTTTATTAGGTTCCAGTTCTGTTGTGGGGGATCCTTCTGGTCCCTGAAACGGCTGTTGCAAATCGGAAACGGAAACCTAAATTCCCATACTGCACACAAACCCAAAGCCCAAAAACGCCTAATTAAACCTTTCAAGCATTAAAAATCAAACCCGAAACCTCCAAACCAAAACAAAAAATGTGTGAACCCCCTAAACAAAGAACAAAAAACCTGCCTTAACCCTAAAACCCTAAACACTGTTCAGTCGTGCGTCGCAGTTCTGAGAGTTGCTGACGGAGGAGGACCAACTCCGCCGCCTGTTTCACGGCATTGTCCTGGGCGCCCACCCACTCTAGTTTAGGGTTTAGGGTTTAGGTTTTGGGTTTAGGGTTCAGGGTTTAGGGTTCAGGGTTTGGCATTTGGGGGTGTAGCATGTAGGGTTTTTGGGTTCAGGTTTTATGGCTCGAGGCTTAATGGGCTTGAGAGTTGGCTTCAGGATTTTGGGTTTGACGGTTTGAGGGCGCAAGGGCTTGATAGGGTGTTAGGGCTCAGGGTTTGGGGCTTGAGGGTTGCAGCGTCCAGGGTTCGGGTGCTGGGGGGGTTGGAGGTTTTCGGGTTTGCGCGGTTAGTCTAGGGTTTCAGGCTTCAGGGTTCAACGGTTTAGGGTTTGAGGATTCGGGATTTCGGGTTCGAGGGTTGATGGCCTCAGTTTGAGACAGCTCCTGTTGAACCGTTCTCTACTCTTCGTAGCCGCTCTAACCGCCTATGGATTGCTTGTTTTGCTCTTGCGCTTCTGCGAAAATCAAACCATGGTAGCAAGCAAATCTGCAGCTCGACTCCTGTACGTGCCTCATTCCTGAGCTTTTCAAAATGAGCCCTGACTACCCCTAACTTCTCTGGGCTGGTCAAAGCAATGCAGATGAACATTGCTCCGGCAACGCTGGCCAACAGTCGTTCATGAGTGAATACTGTCGCATACACGGCATGATGCTCGAATTGCCCCTTCACCCGACGCTCACACGCGAGCATGCCCACAGAGAGGGAGAGAGCGAGAGAGAGAGCCAGCCAGACAGCCAGACAGCCAGACAGCCAGACAGCCAGACAGCCAGACAGCCAGACAGCCAGACAGCCAGACAGCCAGACAGCCAGACAGCCAGACAGCCAGACAGCCAGACAGCCAGACAGCCAGACAGCCGGCCACCAGACAGCCACCAGACAGCCACCAGACGGCCAGAAGACAGGGCGACAAGACTCTTAGGGGGGCGGGGCGGTCCTAGTAGCATCTAGGCAGCATTACATGGTTTGCCCCCGCCTCTGTGGTTGGCGTTCCGCATTGGGATGACCCGGCATCTTGGAGAGTGAGTGCCTCCTGCACGAAGGCTTGCAGGCAAAGAATTCCGAAGGAGACTGCGTGATCGCCGAACACCTGACTGAGAGGCTCCCTATAGAATCCCTAAACCCTCAACCCCAAAGCCTAAACCTGCAAACCCCAAACCCTAAACTCCCGAAGGCTAAACCCTGAACTCTCTCCACACCGTGTTCCTTGCTCGCTGCTTGGGCCGCGGGAGGGATGTCAGCTTCATGTCTGATCCGCGATGAACCCTCTCCACACAGACTCAAACTGCATCGCTAATGGGTCTTTAGGTTTAGGGTTTAGGGTTTAGGGTTTAGGGTTTAGGGCTTCGGCCAGCGAAAGACTTTCCTCGTGCAACCTCAGCAACTGCTTAGTTTTGGAGTCCAGGGAGAAAGCTCAATGCGGCTGAATGGCCGGTCAGGGTCCAGGCTTAAGGTTTGAGCGGTTTAGGGCTAAGGGTTTAGGGGTTTACGGGTTTACGGGTTTAGGGTTTAGAAGTTTAGGGGTTTAGGGTTTAGAAGTTTAGGGGTTTAGGGTTTAGAAGTTTAGGGGTTTGGGGTTTAGAAGTTTAGGGGTTTAGGGTTTAGAAGTTTAGGGGTTTGGGGGTTTAGTGCTGGAGGTTTGCCGAGCCTCGTACTTTACAGCCGTAGGATATACAGATGTACCGTGGTCAACCTAGAACCACGAATCCCGAACGTGAAGCCAGTGAGGGTTTAGGGTTTAGGGTTTAGGGTTTGGCCAGGGCACTATCTCGAGGTCATCGTCCTCCAACTCGTCTTCTGGCACACGGGCAGAAGCTTCAAGATGCTGGATTCATGGTTTGGTCTGCCTAGGATACCCAGTAACCTAAGAACAAAAAGGCCTCTCTTTTTGGTATTGGGTAACTTTATCAGGAACCTAGGACTACAAAAAGGGAATAAGGGTACTACTGGGCAACCTAGTCTGCTATCTCTAGATACCAAGGTTGCCTTGGAGCCCTGTTGCATCCTTCGTTCTTGGCGCCGAGATCTCGCTCCTTTAAAGCAGACTTCGTCTGAACAACCCTTTTGGAGACTCGTGACCCCGAAAGGGCTTCGAAGCTAGGGCTTAAAGATTACGGTTTGGGGCCGGGGTTTGGGAAACTCCGATGCCTAGTCCTTGCCCCTAAATCCTAAACCCTAAACAAACCCGAAACCCTAATCTAGGCCTCTTGGGCTTATGGTAGAAGCCAGAAAGTTGGAACATTAGTATCCTCATGCCCTTAAAGTAAAGGATAAGAGATCCTAGCACTAATCTTCCTAAACTCATGTTCCAACTTTCTGGCTTCTACTGTAGTTGGGAGAGCTTCACCCTAAACCCTAAACCCTAAACCCTAAACCCTAAACCCTAAACCCTAAACCCTAAACCTCAAACCCTAAACCACAAGGGGCTCTAAAGTTCGGACCTTTCGGTGCCACGTGCTTGGGATTTGGAGTTTCATGGCTTTGAGCTTCTCAAGGCTT